ATATTTCTAACAGCTTGATCATAAATATAACTTACCAATTCTTATATTGATGCAGTAATAACCAATGTTTTTTACACCAACTTTAGGCACTGCAGACATTACTAAAATAGATTTTTTGATTACTATAGTCTTTATCAAATACACTTACTTTGTTAACATTATGTTGTGAGAGTATATTACTCGACTTAGTATAAAAATAAGGAATAAATATATTTTGAAAATTTCATTAATTATATGAGTTAAAAATATATTTATGAAAGATACTAATCCAAAGTGAATATTCAAATGTGATATTTGATATTTATTTCCTCTTATTACATTATTTCTATTATATGTCTGACTTTCAGGCAGAGAATTAAAAAAAATTCAGTTTAAATACTTTTGGCATCTTAAAATAAAACTTCATTAAAGTTTACTGAAACAAGTTTACAATTGCTTAAATAATACATATTGTGTTTTAACTGTAAGTAATGTGTTCAAGTGTAAGTTCATTTGCTTGACACATAACATTGTCTTACCTTTTCATACTGTAAGCAAACTTCTGAAAATAAATATCCAAGCTAAGAAGAGATACCATTTTCCTTGAAGTATTATTTGTATTTCCCCTTGAGAGGTTTAATTAGGCTAAAATTTATGGTGTTACGAAATTTTTCAAAAACACTTCAGTTAAATTTTGGGTTTAAGGAATAAATTCAACAGAAATTCCTCTTTAAATTATTGTGAAAAATACTTTCCTTAAATTCTAAATAATATTTATTTATTATCCTGATAAGATGCAAAGATACACATTTTGAATGTTACATGCAATTCATATTAATTCATTTTTAAGGTTATATTTGGAAACTTTCTAATATTAGTACTCTAAAGCAAAACAATCTATTTCAAAATATTTTTTCTTTCATGTTCTTAAAGGCAAATAACTATTTTAGGTATTAGTTATTCATATTTTGTCTCATTTATTTATTTTCTTCTCATGTGTTTTAATTCTTATTGGGAAAGGGCCTAGCAGAGCAACTTGAATAGTCTAATGTTATAAAGCTGAAAAGAGAGTAGAAAAATGTTATAATTGCTTTTAGGTTAGCAATTATTAATGACATTTATTTTTAGGATTAAATTTATAAAATTATTTTATATGAATACTGATGTTATATTTCATTGAGAATTGACTATGTGTCAAGCACTCCGGTAAGTAGTTTACCCAGAATATTTTACTTAGCCCTCAAATGACCCTACACATCATTAGGTACTGCTATGATTCTTATTTTATGAAAGCAAGACTGAACTTTAGATAATAGGAAATCACATAACTATTACAGCAAAGCTAGTAAGTGGTACAGCCACTATAGCATATTATCCCTGTCTCTCTCCCCCTCTCTTTCTCTGTCTCCATCTATCTACTGATTTTCTGTCTGTTTGATCTGTTTATTACTGATAAAAGAAACTTTGAAGACTCCAACTGTAACAAATTTGTCTATTTCTCCTTTTAGTTCTGTCAATTATACTTAAGAATTTTTCGTGGTTTCCCTAGAGTTTACAATATACTTTTTAAATTAACATAAGTCCACCTTTAAATAACACTATATTGCCTCATGTGTCTACCTTATACCAGAGTGTTACCAATTCTACCATTCCACTCTTTGTGATATTTTTCTCATGTGCTTCACTTATCTATTGACTATAGTCATACAATTCATCATTACTACTATTACTTTAAGCAAATGGCAATATTTTAAGTCAATAAAGAATATGAAAAATAAGAGATTTTATTTTTCATTTATTCCTTATCCAATACTCTTCCTTTCTTTATGAGAATCCAAATTTCAGACCTATATTATTTTCTTCTCCCTCAGGAACTTCTTTGAATATTGCTTGCAAGGCACATCTGCTGGTGATAAATACCTCAATTTTTGTTTTCAAAAAATATTTATTTTTTCTTTCATTTTAAAAGACAACTTTACTGCTTATTGAATTCTAGTTTTTTTTTCAATATTTTAAGTACTTCATATTATTCTCTTCTTACTTGCCTGGTTTCAGATGAACAATTACAGAAGAGTTCTCATCTGAAACTCTTCTCATCGCCCCACTGCAAACTGGGTTCTGTCAAGATTTTTCCTCTTCTCTGGTTTTATACAATTTGAATATGATATGGCTAGGTTCGGTATTTATCTTGTTTTGTGTTCTGAGTTCTGTGGATTTGTGTTTAATGTCTGTCATTAATTTTTGAAAATTCTTGACCATTGTTACTATAAGAATTCAAGTATTTTCTCTACTCCTTTCTCTTTTACTCTTCTCCTCTGATATTTAAATTAGATGTATTTTATAACTTTTTATACAGTTCCACATTTCTTTGTTTTGTTTGTTTGTTTTGTTTTTCTTGAGACAGGATCTCGCTTTGTCACCCAGGCTGGAGTGCAGTGGTACAATCATAGCTTACTGCAGCCTTGAACTCTTGAGCTCAAGAGGTCCTCCCTCCTCAGCCTCAAGAGTAGCTAAGACAACAGGCATGCACCACCATGCTGAGCTAATTTATTTTTTATTTATTTATATTTTTTGTAGAGACGTGGTCTTGCTATGTTGTCTAGGCTGTTATTGAACTTCTGGCCTCAAGTGATTCTCCTGTCTCAGACTCTCAAAATGCTGGGATTACAGGCATGAACAATTGTGTCCCACCTCACATTTCTTGTATGTTCTGTTTTGTTTTGTTCATTCTTTTTTCCCTTTGCATTTTATAATCTTCAGGTTATATATCTGTGTTTTAGTGAGTCTGTGTATCTGGGCTGTGACCTTCTAAGTATTCTTCCAATGGTACCATTTTCTTTTCCTTTGTTCCTACTTGCTTCCCTATGTGTATTATTTTCAATGTATACCTTTCAAGCCCTGACCTCTGTTAATACCGCCACACCCCACCCCCAACCTCCCTGTAACGTAGATGAAATAGGAGGGCTAGAAGAAGAAGTGGTGAGAGGAATAAGGCTCTGGCAAAGTATTTTTTCTATAGAGTTAGACTTTGATATGGAGAAGGTTCTGGACATGTTTCACAGTGGCTTCTCTTCCCCCGCCATTGCCTGCCCCTCTCCCTCCCAACCTCCACCACCCAACAGAACCAGCCCAGAAACCTTCTTTTGATCTTCACAGTGAGAACTCAAGTTTGTAGGTCTCTCAAGACTGTAGCTCCCAGAAGTTTTTCCACTCTACATTCAGTGTCTAGCAATTTGTAAAAATTACAATGAAAGTATTTTACCAATGTATGATCCCAGCTTCTGTTCCATGTACATAGATCTTGGTTGTGTCTCTTTAGATTTACCTGTCCTTCCAGATTTTAGTGTGAATGTTTTCCCTGCAACCTCAACTTACTATTTTATCCAAGTAATGGATTTTCAGCTTATCTGGGTTTCTTCTTCCTTCTTCCTTCGTCCTTCTTTCTTCTTTCTTCTTCTTCTTTTTTTTTTAAGACGTCAGTTACAACTTGCATTCTCCTTCTATATCGGAGATGAAAGTGAAAATCCAAGTGCAATCAAAGACTCGGATAAAAGACATTAATTTAGAATCTTGCACCACAGGTATAGAATGTCACTGGTGGGCTTAAAAAGTCAAATCTTATGCAAATCAAAGACGTTTTTTGCTATAATCTTATTTCTTCCCATTTTACCGTCTTTACTGTATGTTGGATCATCTGGCATAAAATCAACTGCTTGTAGCTTTTGTGTTTCCTTGGTCTATAGAAATACATATATATCTTCCCATTAATGCCAATTAGGAGTTGGTGCAAAAGTTATTGCGGTTTTTGCATTGTTGAAATTTGCTGTTTGATATTGGAATACGCTCTTAAATAAATGTGGTTATGTTATACTGTTACTGGTGGAGGGTGTCCAGGTTCTTGGCATCTTAAAGAATTGGACAAAATGCACAAACAAAGCAAAAAAAGAATGAAGCAACAAAAACAAAGTTATTGAAAATGATAATACACTCCACACTGTGGGGGCAGGTCCAACCATATGGGTTCAAGGGCTACATTACACAAATACCCTCTAGAGGATTTCACTGGTTACTAGAGGATTTCACTGGTTACACCCTATGTAAATGAAGAGGATGAAGTAAAGTTACAAAGTCATTTACTCAGTGTATGCCCTACGGAGAGGATATTTCCTGTCATAGCTAAAGTGTGAATCTACCTTGCATTCCCTGTCTCCAGACCATATTTTCCTACCTCATTTCCCCCTGAGAGATGTAATCCCTATAAATCTTTTCAGGAGGCAGTGGGACCGATGGCCTTTCTTCTGTAACTGCTTCATGCTGGCTAACCTATTGGGTATCACAGAATTCTCACCCTGCTCTGTTTAGTGGAGGCAGGGTAGCTTCTTGAAGGCCAGGGTGGTGTTTTCACTTGGAACTAGCTGGAACCTTTGTTGCATGATCATCTGAAGCTTGATGGTCTCCAGGTGAAAGGAAATGAATTTGGTTAAAAGATTTAATGGAAACTTCAAGGAATGCATACCTATTGTTATAAAGTTTTGGTTTCACAAAAGAAATCGCACTTGAATATGAAATTTTCTTTTTAATTCTCAGCAAAGCAATGTACTTATGTAGAAGGGTGTGCCCTTACAGCTGGAGCAATGGTGAGCGCACACTTGGACAAAGGAGGGGAAGGGGTTCTTATTCCTGAGGCACCTGGCCCCTGCTGCTGTGTTGTTCCCCTATTGGCTAGGGTTAGACTGCACAGGCTAAACTAATTCCAATTGGCTAATTTGAAGAGCAGGACAGGATGAGTGGTTTGGCGGGAGTCAGGGTGAGCAGATAAGGGTGGAGCAGGTGATCAGAATGAGTCAGGGTGGAGCCAGTAATTGGAATGAGTCAGCGTAGAGCAGGTGATCAAAAAAGTTTGCTTTACAAGGAAGTTTAAAAGTAGGAGGCAAAGAATTGAACATACTACATGTTGATTCTTTGTAGAGAAATTTAGAACTCATATCTGATAATTCTCTCCTCTTGCATTTTCCTTACAGCTCTTTCTCTTCAAACTTCTTTAACATGTCCTGGCTTAGCTGTTCTCCTTGATTTTCCAGAAGAAGAATCTTCTCTAGGTAAGGTGGAGGATAGTTAAGGGAGGTTTTAATAAGTGCCATTTCTATGAGCCTCTGCACCAACCCATGGTCGCATGGTATGACACAGTACCTGACAAGAATAATTACATCCATTACAGCTGTGAGGGTGGTAAGAATTGAGGCTATTACACTTTTCCATTTACCAAACCACTTTTCTAGCCATCCTGTAAAGGGGTCATTTACCCGTGAGTTGTTGGATAACTCATTGGACAGAGCAGTCAGACCTTACAATACGTTTGTTATACTTCCATCAGGGGCAGTGTTGTTTGGGATGAAGGTACAACATTGAGTTTTAATCATGACACAAACGCCTCCTCTTTCTGCTAATATCATGTCTAAGGCTATCCTATTTTCCAAAGCCATCTGGCTAGCAGCCCCTAATTGCTCAGCTATTCCTTTAACAGCATCTATACATCTACCACAACCAAAAGCAATTTATTAACTACACAAAGCATCTCGAGTATAGTTAATAAATTGCTGTTGGTTGTAGTAGATGTAGTTTATCCAATTTACATTTTTATTCATTGTCACCCACCAAAATATTGACTCAAATTCTGCAGCTATTTGATTTCGGGCTTTAAATTGATCTGGTATTACCCATAGGACTCCAATTCCATTTAAATAGAAGTGAGAGTCAAAAGACCCATAAGGGGCTTCTCTTGCTTTACAATGTCTTATTTTCCTTCCCCTGGTTGATGAAATGCCAGGTTGAAAGGGATAGCCAACTGGACTAAAGCACAAGTGCCACTCCAGTAATTCAGCAGAGTGTCCAGTAAAGGTCCACCACAATACCACCACACATCTGCTCAGGGATGAACAAGGGCTGACTGATTGATAAGCGCTTGAGAATTCTTAAGCTCAGTGCATCCCTTCATGTTTCCAAGGAACAGTAAGTTTCCTCCTGGTTGTGAGAGACACGAAGTGAACTTAGTGTTGGGAGATGGAAGCTGGATGGCCTCTGGGGCTGACCCGCAAGGTGCCAGACTTCGGGATATAGCAGAGAGAGAGCTTGGCACGACTTGTTACTCCAGGTTGTAGAATCCTGGAAAAGAACTACCATGCAGCCCACGCCCAGTTGACTGGAGGACCACCCTAGTGGAGAAGGGACAATCTGGGCCTCTGGCCTGCCATGAGCACAAGCATAACAATTCCTTTTGTTTAACGTGTAGATGCCATTCCAACCAGGCATTTGCATCTTGGTATCCTGTCTTAATTGCCAAAGTTTGTTTTAAGTCTTTCACTTCTATGATAGCTATCTTGGTCTTAACATTGGATGGAGGAGGAGCAATTGTTCCGTTGTGAGAGGTTTTGGAAGAATGCTTAGAGGAAGGTGCAGGCAGCAGGGGATCAAATAAACACATTTCAAAGCATCCAATAGGGTCTGTCCCTGAAACCTCAGCCCCTATACCATAAAACCAGCTTAAAGAAGGGAAGTGGCCTAGAAAAGGGGAAGAACTTTGAGGCTTTGTGATAATAACCTGTGTAGGATTGTACTGGTTTAGCTGAGAGTTGCGGGGGAGGGGCTGTCTTTCTGGTAAAATGAATGTATGGTTTTAGGAAATTACAAAAACCGGTTGGGGCAGTCCATTCTTGCTCTTTAGTGGTCCACAGAAGGTTTGACCAATTACGGCATAAAAGCTCTACATCAGGGCAGCAAGATTCCTGGTTGACACTGGGATCTTTATCGAAATCTTCCCGGATTAAATGGTCCCAATTCACTAATGCCCAGTCTGAGGAGAGTCGGGGGTACAGAGGTACTTTTATTAAGTAGAGAGCTGTCTTTGACTTGGCAAGTCCCACAGGGTATAACAAGGCAAGTATCAAATGCAATAGTTTGAGGCAAAATTGACTTGGTTATGTTAATAACTAGATGGTCAGCAATAGAGCAAGGAAAGAAGAAAGAGTAATAGAATAGATGAAAGAGAGTTAAATTTCTCTTAGCTTTAGTTTGGTAGGGTTTTCCCCTGGGACTATGGCCCATGACTCTGAAAGGGGTGGCACTTTCTTGACTTGGCTGTGATGAGTCCATCCCCTTTCCACTGTACAAACAGCAGTCTCGGTGGTTAGCAGCCCAAGGTAGGGTCCTTCCCAGGCTGGCTCAAATTTTCCTTCTTTCTACCCTCTGATGAGAACACGATCTTCAGACCTGGTGCTGGTTTACCGGAAATTCTAGGGTTAGTACCTGTGCCAAAAGACTTCTAATTTTGAGGGAAAGGAAAGTGGAAGATAAACCAAGTATATAATTTCTAAGAAATTGATCTTTTTTTTAAAATGTGGGGACATCAGCAGTGGACTTTCTAGTCCATGTGCCTTCTTACTGAGAAATTTTCTTTAGCATCTATTTTCATTAGCTTTTATACCAAAGAAAGCCAAAGACCATTTTATATTTGACAATGCTTCCTGTATGATTTTTATACCAAATAAGCTAAATTTCACTTTATATTAGTGTGTTACTAATGTTAAACTCAATTTTAATAAAACCTTGTAGACATATTTATCCAATTTTAATGTCTAACCATAAGGTAAGATTTTTATAGACTCTTTTTAACTTTTTATAATTTTTTTTAAAGAGCAGGTTAGTGCTTCAAGAAAAACCTGTTTTGCTTTTATTTTGATGTCCAGTTCACAGAAAGACTGGATGACACCCCTTTAACTGTAGCCAATGGGTTTACACACAGAATTTCATTTACAATTAACATTTTAAAGCTTGCTTAAGCCTTTAAAACAAATTTTTTTAACCTTTTAATTGTAGGTAAAAATCCACATTCTTATGCCTCCTTAAAATCCTTTTTCCAAAAGTATATTTTACTTTTCTTCCACACCTTGCACATAAACTGTTTCTTCAATAGTTTTACCATCAGGAGGCCTAATTACTTTTAAATTATACAACATTTCTTGCATAAATCCCCTTTATCACTTTTTCATGACTTTAACAATCTTTGACATGCCTCAACCTTCTGACTTGTTGCAAACATCCCTTTCTTTAAACAACCAGTTAATTTATTTTAGGGCAAGAATTTACCATATAATAATCTTTTTATATAAATTATTCCCCTCCCCCCACTTTTTTTCCCCATTCTTCTCCAAAGAGAACTTCCTTCGTGTCTGTGGACTAGACTGCCTAAGGTCACAAGATTAGAAGTTAGGATAATACATGTTACACTGTTAACTTTTAGCAAACTTTACTTTTGTTGAAAACCTTGTAAGTCTGGGATTTCAATTTTTCTTTGCTATTTATAAGACCTCATTTAGTCCAAATTAACTTAGAAATGATATAGATGGTTCCTTCCTGGTTCTGTAAGTACTTTAAGGCTTGGCTGAATGCAAACAGCTCACATGTTTGAGCAGAACAATTATTAGGCAATTTTCCTAACTCTGCTTCTACAAGAGTTTCCCTATCAATCACTGCATACCCATTGTACTTTTTACCTCAGTCACCCAGGAGGAACCATCTATCATTCTGTCCTGAAGGGAGTTCCTCCTAGGTCTGTTTGGACCTTTGTATAGTAGTTAATTCAGATTTAGATACACTGGTAGGAAACCTGCTGGGTTAAGGGAATTTTTAGTGGTTAATGTTGAATCATCTTTTTTTTTTTTTTTTTTTTTTTTTTTTATTTTTTTTTTTTACAGAATAGCCTCATACTTTCTTCTGTTAGCAAAGCAGTTGTTGCTACAGAATGAATGTGTTTGGGCCATCCACAGGTTACTGGGTTAAGGATTTTTGATTAAGAAGGCTACAGGTTGTCAGTGGCCTCAGTGCTCTCGGGCTATGCCCTTGTTTACGCTGACAACAAGGTGGTATTGGAGTGTTATAGGGTTATGGAGAAGACCTTTAATTATCAATTATAGGTTTTAAATTTACCCTGGCTTTTAGAGGAATAGGGTACACTGTTTTCTCTTTACTCCTTCTATGTCTCTCTTTCTCTCTTTCTTTCTCTGTTTGATTTTCTGTCTCTCTCTTCCTCTGTCTCTCTTTGACTCCCTCTTTGTCTCTGTCTCTTCCTCTCTCTCTCTGCCTCTCTCTTTCTCCCTCTTTGACTCTGTCTCTTTCTCTCTCTCTCCCTTTCCTCTCTGCTGATCTTTCCCTGCCTCTACCAGCTGCTTACGCTGCTGTTTTCCCCTCTCTTTCCCCTTCCCCTAGAGGAGGGACCAGCGGGAGTGGAGATACTTTCTTCTCCCAGGAAGAAAGGAAAGGGGGGCTTTGTGTGAGGGTCAACCCCTCAAACTAGGGATGTCTTGCCTTGTCTTCCCTGGAAGGCTTAGCCCTTCAAACCAGGGGTGTCTTGTCTTACCTGCCCTGGAAGGCTCAACTCTCAAACCAGGGGTGTCTTTCTTGTCTTGCCTGTCCTGGAGTTTGACCTGTTTCCCCCTTTCCCTCTCTTAAGGTCCTTTGCACACTTCTCACTCATGGAAAGAACACATTCACTTCGTCCAGCAGTAGGACTTGTCACCATCCATGTGAACAACACTGCAAGCAGGGTTGTTTGTGATCATTCACACACCTCCACACACACATTCAGCCCTCCAGAATTTGGCCACCAAGGAAGTACTTTACTGGCTCCTGTGGCTTCTCCTTTCTTGGTCTGTGCCCAGAGTCGTCGCTGCAGTATGTGAGGATCCTTTGCCCTTGGTTGCTGGCCAGTTTCTTTTTGCATTGCTGAGAGCACGGGTTATGCCTCACACTAGGTAGGTCCTGATTTCTCACCCTGAGGCCACCATAAGGAGGTGGGGCATGCCTCCTCAAGAGAGAAGCAGAGGCCACCCCAGAGGGGAAATGTAATCCCGGATGAGCCCCCAAATTCTTATAAATAAAGTTTCGGTGCTGCAAAAGAAATAGCACTTAAATATAAAATTTTCTTTTTAATTCTCAGCAAGGCAATGTACTTCTATAGAAGCCTGCACCCTCACAGGTGGAGCAATGGTGAGCACACACTTGGAAAATGGAGGGGAAGGGCTTCTTATCCCTGGGACGAATGTGG